GAGCCGGTCTGGACGTGCTTTTGGTTTTGTTTTGAGCGGCCCGGGTTGAATCTTTGCCCAGGGCGAGCTGGGCGCTGCTTGGGGGCCGCGGTGAGGGCTGAGCCGCGCGGGCTGCCGTGGAGAGCTGATCTGGAAACCCAGAGCAGGAACAAACGCGATGTGGGATTTTAACCCCCGAAGTCTGGCCTTGAGCTTGTTTAATGGGTGCAGGGGGATGGGACAGCTCAGGAAACCTGGTGCAAACAACCCTGCTCGCTCTCCCTAGGTTTTAGCCCAGCAGCTTCTTGTTAAACAGCTTTTCTTGTGTTACAGATGTTTTTACATCCTTTAGACACGGTTCAGTGGAGATCTCAGCACCGGCAGCTATATTCCCCCTGCTCTTCCATCCTGCTGGCCTTTTGTCCTCCTTTTACCAATTCCAAATTTCTTCCAAATCGGGCTGGGAAACCAGTTGTGCCTCCTAACAGTGTTCCCGGCGGGCAGGACAGCAGCGCGGGTATCTCTGCCCCAGCTCCCTTACAGCAACAGTGAGAGTTAACTGCTGCTCCCGGTGTCTCAGGTTAATGTGTAGCTGCTCTTACATTGCCCTGTGCTGACAAAGGCCAAAGTTAAACTGTTACTTCAGCGTCTTTCTCATCCACCTTTGGAGGCTGGGTGAGAGCAGGCACGTCCCAGCCCTTCTCCGGGACCAGGCGTTGGCCCTGTGAGTGCCTGGGTCGCCGTCCCAGTCGCCCGACTAGCCCTGTTGGCCGTATGTGCTGTGTCCGCCCCATTCCTGGGGCTCAGGCTGAATTTTCCTCGGGGTGAATTTGATTTAAAGTGTCGCCTGCTTCAACGGGCACCCGTTGGTCTCCAGCACACGAGACACAGTGCAGACAGCCACGAGTTAGCTCGGCAGTTGTGGCCTTCCTGTTGCTGTGCCGTGCCGTCCCCTCCCCTCCATTGTGCAGGAACAATTCTGAGAGCCGGCGCGGAGTTGGCTCCAAATTAGGGATAAAATGCTTTTATCCTGCGGTAGCCGGCAGCCATCTCCATCCCATGCAGTGGACATGGGGCAGCATCTGGGGTGAGCAGCAAGCGATACAGTCAGCCTGAATTTGGGTTTTACTAAACTTTTGGGGTTTGCTTGGGGGCTGAAATCCAGCCCAGGGTGAGCCTGCATTACAGCTGCTGGGCCCGGAAGTCTGCTTACAGCAAGGCTCCTGTATTGCAAGGGAAGTGGGACTGTTTCCTGGAGGACAAAATCTTCCTGGTGAGATGGGGAAGGTGGTTTGCTCCGGTCAACAGAGCTGTTGCCCAAATGCCTGGGAGGGGGTCAAATGGCTGTGTCTCGAGTGGGCATCCTTGTCCATATCCCTGCTGGAGGAGAGGTGTGAGCGGCATTGGGTCTTGGCTGCTCGCTGCACCCGTCCCTGGGGCTTTCTGCCTCGCCAGTTCGGCTGCCGCTGCTTGCATGGCTCCTTTCCCCACCCCGCTCTGTC